GCTGATGCAGGAGCCAGTGATGAAGCTGCTCAAGCTGCAATAGAAGCTGAAGAGCAAGCGGCACGTGAAGCTGAAGAAATAGCTGCCCGTGAAGCAGAGGAGCAAGCTGCTCGCGAAGCTGAAGAATTGGCCGCTCGTGAGGCAGAGGAACAAGCTGCCCGCGAAGCGGAAGAGTTAGCTGCCCGCGAAGCAGAGGAAGCTGCCGCTCGCGAAGCTGAAGAGTTGGCTGCCCGTGATGCAGAAGAGCAAGCAGCTCGTGATGCAGAAGAGCAGGCAGCTCGTGATGCCAAAAAACTAGCTGCTCGCGAGGCTAAAGAAGCAGCAGCTGACGAAGCAGAGCTGGACGCGCTCAAATCAAAAGCCAAAAAGAAGAAATTGCTCAAGAAGGAGCAAAAACGCTTTGATGAACTTACCGAAAAACTCAAGGCTCGTTCGAGTACTACAGATCTTGACGAAGCAAGTGATCAAGCTGCCGCTGAGGAACAGGCTGCGCGTGAGGCTGAGGAGCTAGCAGCACGTGAAGCGGAAGAACAGGCTGCCCGTGAAGCAGAAGAAGCTGCCCAAGCCGCTCTGGAAGCCGAAGAGCAAGCTGCTCGTGAGGCCGAGGACCTGGTCACTCACGAAGCCGAAGAAGAAGAAGAAGCACGTAAAGCGCAAGAGGCTTCAGAGGATGAGGAGTTTGCGGCTCTCACAGCTGCTAAGGCGAAGAAAAAGAAGAAGTTCAAGGATCAAATAAGATTAGATGAACTTACTGATATTATCAACGCCCGTACCACTATTACTCCCCCTGCAGAAGATGATGATGAGGCTGCGCAGGCCGCCCGAGAAGCTGAGGAAGCTGCTATACGAGAGGCAGAGGAACAAGCCGCACGTGAGGCTGAAGAACAGGCTGAGCGCGAGCGACAGGAGGCTGAAGCGGCTTCATTCTCTAAGAAGAAATCTAAGAAGAGCTCCAAATCTGATGACAAGAAATCCCAACCCAGCAGCAAGGAAAAGAAGGACTTCGACGATCTTGACCTTGAGGACCTTACACCGGAACAAGCTGACGAGATTCTTGCGGGCCTAGCGGCGCCAAAGAAGCCCAAAAACGACATATTCTCATTCTGGGGTTCCAAGCCCACACCAGTAAGCCCACCACCCGAACCAGTAAGTACCCACCAGCCCCAAAACTCGTCAGCAACTCGGATCACAATTGCTGAGTCAACCAAGATTCTGGAAGATGCCACAATAGATGACGCCACACCGGCTGTTTCGAAGGCCGTCGATGATGATTGGATGCCGAAGAAAAAGACTAAAGGAAGCAAGCTCGCTGAAAGACTCAAGAAGTTCGAGCCAGTGGCTCAAGATAATTTCGAAGGCGACCTAATTGATGTAGTGCCTGAAGCACCAGAACCGCCACCAGCAGTACAAGAACAGGACTTCCTGCCCGGTGGCTTTCCCTCGGATGACGAAGATCATGGAGACGAGTTCCACGATGCCGAAGCTCACGCCGATGTAATTGATGATGATGTCGATGATGATAGAGCCAGAGGCGAAGACGAAACTGCTGAGATGTTCGATATGGCGCCTGCCGAACACGAGTCGAGTAAAAGTCTACCAAAAGACGACGGTTTCCATCCGGATGAAGATGAAATTGTCGAAATCATTGATTTGTCCCCCGTCGTAGAAAAGAAGCCTAAAAAGAGTAAGAAAGGCAAATCCAAGGGCAATGTCCTTCCTCCCATACCACCCCCGGCGCCTCCTCCACCGCCTGCGGTACCCGACGCACCTCCAACGCCCCCATCGCCTGAGTCTAGATCATCCAAGAAAGAGCGAGCCAAGATTAGCCGTGAGGGAAGCGGTTCATGGGGTATGTGGTCGGCTTCAGCCACACCGCCCAAAGAAGAGAAAAAGTCATCGAAGTCTAGGTCCGAAGCCAAAAAGCCAAGGAAGGATAGAGAGGAAAGAGTAAGGGAAGAAAGAATACGGGAAGAGAGAGAGAGAGAAGAGAGAGAAGAGAGAGAAAGAGAAGAAAGAGAAGAAAGAGAAGAAAGAGAAGAGAGAGAAAGAGAAGAGAGAGAGAGAGAGGAGAGGGAAAGAGAAGAAAGAGTGAGAGAGGAGAGAGTGAGAGAGGAAAGAGTAAGAGAGGAAAGAGTAAGAGAGGAAAGGGTATCTTCCAAGGGCTCGGCGTCAGATAAAGCAGAGCAACCGGATAAGAGAACCCTGCCAACTTCTACGTCGCGCATGAATAGTGTTTTCCAAAGCACTCCCCCCCTTTCGCGCTCAATGTCAACACGGGACAGGTATATGGGCAAATCGAGCTCGAGACGCCCATCCTTCGATATGAGTGGTGGACTTGTATCGCCTCCTCCCGAAGAAACGCCCGGATTGAACCAGAAAGCGGCGCGATTCCTAGGAGTGGATAAAAGCCAAAGTCGGAGAACCTCAAGGACCCGCGCTGCTGCAGAAGAAGATGACATCGTCGTGGTTGAGACCCGCGATTTTACTTCAAGCCCCGAAAAATCAGGACGTAGAAGATCAAAGGTAAAGCGCTCCATAATAACCAAGCTCAACCTGGCTAACTCGAAACAGGCAAAACCAAGCGAGGACGTATTCATGGCTGACGAAAACAATCCCGCTAACATGACACCTTTGAGGCGATCCGGGTCAAGCGCCAAGAAGGGAATATCTGGCCTTTTCGGTGGCCTGAGGTCCTCAAATCAACGTTCCGAACCTCGCCCGGAACTCCGCCGTCGAAGCACATATCACGCCACTGACGATGAAATGAGACCCGATAAGAGAGCAAGGCGCACACGAGGAATGAGCAACGCTGAGCCTGAAGTCGACGCTGATCGCGAAGCTCGGCGTGCCGCTCGACGAGCAATGAAGGAACAAGAACGGGACGAGGAGTCTCGACGTGCGAAGGACGCTCGACGCGAGAGGCGTAGACATCAAGAAGAGGATGAAGAAGATGTTCGTAGACAAGAAGAGCGAGAGGCTCGAAGAGCGGAACGCAGGGCTGCGCGAGAGCGCGAAGCGCAGCGACTCGCAGATGAAGAAGCCGAAGCGAAAGAGGCTGAGAGGGCAGAACGTCGCCGCCGCCGCAGACTTGAAAAAGAAGCCGCAGCTGCTGAAGAAGCAGAGGCGGAAGCTCGTCGGACTGCGCGAGCCGACAGACGACGTAGTATGCGACCGCCGGAAGCATCGGAAGACGATGACGAGCGCCGACGGAGACGCGAAGCCAAGCGGGCTGAAAAAGCCAGTCGCAACCGGACTGTGCCCATGGATGAGTATCCTCGAGAAAGATCTTCAAGGTACACCGACGATGAACGCAGCAAGAAAAGGACACCAACTTGGCCACATTCGGGCACGAGCTCGTGGGTGAAAGAGCACTATGACGCTGGTCCGCCTCCGGAAGACGGGCCGGCGACCGATGCGCCTCCGGCCACAGATGACGAGGAAGCCCGACGAGCCGCTCGGCGAGCAGCTCGTCGTCGAGAGAGATATGGCGACGTAAAACCAGAGTACGATGACGACCAGAGACGACGCCGACGACGCGACGAGCGTGACCGCCGGGATGATCGTGATCACCGAGAGGAACGTGATCGCCGAGAGCGTCGTGTAGGCGGATCTGATGGTAGCGGAGACAAAGCGCAGCAGCCACAGCGCGAACCGTTATTCATGGATGCGACGCCTCGGAGTAGCTGGTGGAAGAAATTTACAGGCTCGTGAGATTTGCTTGACGCAATCTTGGCCACTCTCTATATGTCTGTTTGTAATAGATGAGGAGGATACTTTTCGATTAGCGCATGTATTATGTTTCTTAGGACTGGATATATATACCCCGTTGGACATATTTCGCAGCGTGGCAGCCCTGTTGTATACAACGCTATTATGTCTATTAGGCGATAATAGGTGGGTGTCTGGTCAGAGTATGGACGGATGACTGAGATTCAGGGTATCATCTACTGTTTTAAATTGTGTTTGTGGGCTTGTAAGTTATTAGAGTTATATATGTGTGTGTCTGTAGCGCAGCAAGGATGGGAGATTGAAAGCATTTATGGTGGGTGTAATTGAATGGCCAACCCATAGACTGGAAACTAGTAGCAAGCGATGTCTTGTTGGAATTATACCCCTCCAAAATTGACAATTAGAGCCATAAATTTTCTCTAGCCTTAGTGTAATATAGTCTATACAAACTAATCATACTCTATATGTTGTGTGGACTCTGCTGGTGTGTCACTGATCGCCAAGATGGATTGCACAACGTATCAACGAGCAGGTAAGATGGTCCAAAAGATGCACGCAACCGCGCAGCCACGTATAGTACATAATCTATGGTAGTAGCACATATTACTCAGTATTAAGAGAGTCTGATAGAAAGTACAAGTTATCATTTTCAACAATAATATATAAGATGTTTTATCAGCCTTGACATCGATGCTTATTACCTAGTAGCTTCACAACGGGTTTTAGACAACTTGCCTAGACCTATATATATCATAAGTTTCTATGGCTATTATATATCGTTCTAGGAGTGTACATGGCCACAAGCTGTCTCACGTAGTTGTAGCTGCATATGTTATATTATGTAGGCAGCCTTACCTGGTCTACGAGTCATGAGATAAAGCAACTACTTAAGTTAGGAGTCGACGTGAATACTTTTTTGTTTTATCACCTTCAATAACAGTTACGTGAAGAGAAAAGGACAAGCCGAATCACTTGCACAATGTCTGCCTGTCCAGCTATATAACATAAGCTAAGACTAGCTAGCATATAAAATAACCCGTGAACGATGGTACGTACTATTGCCTCCCCTACTCCTTCTCTCTTGTTCTCTCTTGTTCTCCCTTGTGAGAGATGCGTAGGCGCGTAACCTACGTCACACACGCCTTGACGCGTGTGCCCGTGTGCAAACAACGGCCGTACCTATCCATACGCAAACAACGCCAGCACCGACCAGCCATATAAGTGACAACAAGAGAACCAGGAAATACAACCGAGCAAATAAAGGATGTTTGGCTCCAGTAGAGTAGTAGTTAACTCATTTCCCTCCCATTTCTCTCGGGTTAAGGAAGGAAAGGACCTGGGTGCAAATCCCGGCTGGTGCAATTTTATTTTTGTTTTGTTTTTTTTTCTTGAGTGCTTTTTTTCTTCTAACTGTCTGCTTTTCCACATCTTACCCATGTATTAATCAATTTAAGGAGATATATATATCATAAATATTCATGTGAATGTTACCTTCCACGTTGTAAGGTTGATATGTCTCTTTCTGAGGTGGTTGGCGCTGAAGCCTGTTTGCATGCCTCCGTTTTCACAAAGTGCTGAGAAAATTTAAATTAGCATGGGGGCTTTCCCCCTTACACATGACTCTACGGCATATTGAACGTTAATACTTTTACTAGTAAATAAGTCAATATCATCACCACCTTTTGACTGATGGTGTGAATTATACCCATACATTTTGCTGCATGTATCCCAACATACTTGCAACGTAACATGTCTTTCACACTTTATGGCCCGTTGCAATCTCGCTTTTCTTCGTCAAAAGCCCATACTAACTAACCCCTATTCATGCAAAGGAGGCAAATATCACCTTCTAGTCACAAGGAACAGGATCAAATTCCTTTGTTTTTCGTGCTGTTGAGATCATGTCTACTCACGTCGCAACAAAGCAAGACACACGCCTAAATACGACGCTTCCAAGGACAAGTAAGTACCTTCTTTTTACAAACAAGATCATCTGTAATGGTAATCCCGACCCAAGCTCAGATTCCCAGTAATACAAAGTACACACACATCCAATCTCACTCAATAAATTCTCCTATCAGACGCACCCATACCAAGAAACCAACGCCAGGAAAGAGGAAAGAAAGGAATATATATGAAATAAATAATGTGCTACAAGGAGAACGCCCGCATAGTCTGCGAGGTCTGCGCATCTTGCATCGCGGTCCGGCCAGGGATACGTCACAAGTGTTTCGCCGTGCTCAAAGCACACAAGGGATTCGGGGGCTGTGGGCGCAGAGACGGGCCATTTAATACCCTTGTTCGGGAGGGGATATGTGAGGCGTGTCGTGGGTCTTAAGAAAGAAAGAGAGAGAGAGGCTTGCAACCTGTTGAAACCGAGCTGCTCGAGGGTATGAAGTAGCGTACTGATGAGGTTATAGGGGGGGGGGAGTAGAGGGATAGGTGGGATGACTGGCGTGCGAAGGGGTTGTAGGAGAGATAGGAGGTAAATAAGTAAGTAAGGGATTTTGTCTGACTGTTCCGGATACAATATCTTGATGAATTCTGTCCGTTTGGTACAAAATCGTGCTGACTCTGGACAGAAAGTTTTGTTTTCAATGAGCATATATATAGTTATAAGACTTGTATAAAATATATATTTCACCCAGATCTACGTATTCCATCTGCGCTAGGTGTACGAATTCTTTCCCCGCATATGCATTCTACCCTCAGTTGTTAGGGTTAGTTAGGATACTATTATTTAACACTACCTGACATTGATAATTTACTCATAGACAAATATTGACACAAGAGAGACAGGGAATGGAGCCAAGACCGCCTGGTGCAACGTGAGAGGACGACGTATACGAAATCATCAGGTAGATCATTGGATATACAGGAGCCTTACCATGATCTGGAGCAGCAAGCTTCTATCTTGTCATCGTCTCTAAATTTGCCCTCAACTAGGTAGTGGCTCCCATCAGAAGTGAATCACTATCTAGATAGTATATCCTAAAGGCGAGTAAAGACAACATTGAATTCTCTCGATATTCTCTCGATATTCTCATCGATTCAGGTCGAAGTCTAAGGGTTGTAAACAAGACGTAAGCTTCACAATTCAATCAAGTGAGTTCAGTTCAGTTCAGGTCAACAATATCCTAAAAGATATATTCGTAAGGTAGGTGGTATTGATTAAGGGTAGCCCAGCCATCCAATTCCACCTCCAATTCATTGGAAAATCCAACAGCCCGGTCTGTGACAAGACGACCGACTACTGATGATGCTCAATAGGGTTTAATGGTAGCCTGAAACCAATTCGTCCAAATACCGCAAAACGCCCGATAACAGGAGCCATATTACAGTGTAATCTACGATCGTGGCGATTCTAAATCCCCGATCTCCTATCCTAGTATCCGTCCCCGCCGACCAGAACCAACACTTTTCAGGTTACCGAAGAATACGAGATGAAGAGGTATCATGGCAGCTAGAGGAAGACCTGTTGCTTGAGTAAAACAAAATTCCTTTTTTGATGCATCCCAGTATGCTTTGCTCCTAGGAAAACGCCATGTCCGCATCCACCGTTCCTTGATCTGTTGAAATAAAAACAGGCCCGTCCCCTCGCTGTTGTCGTTAAAGAGAAAGTTTCGTAGCGCATTTCAGAGTCAGTTAATAAAAATATAGTATAACGCTGTACCGGGATAGAATGTGACCGAATCCATGGCGGGCGCTAGGAGCTTGAGTCGAAAGGGTCGCCATGAATATGCTCTATAGTACAGTAATTTCCAGGTTGAGAGGAGCCGGAGAACAGGTCTCGCTACTCTTGTTCCGTGTCGCTTCCTTCGTCCTCGGAAATCTCGAGAGGGCCGTACTTCGCCCTATATCTTTCAAGCTCGGCCATTTGCTTGCTGACATGGCTGAGTATGACTGCCATTGGTGCGCGCAGATCTTCTAGTTGTTTGATATGGCCGCCGCCCATTGCAGAGTGTCGAAGAGCCAAGGTCGAGACACAAGTCTAGAAGAATGAGTTAGCTTAAGAGGAAAGTAATCGGGATATAGACATCTTACCTCGATGCGGCTAACTTGGTGCTCCATGAAATTGAATAGAAAACGGTCTGTGACCTCACCACCACGCTGCTTCATACGCTCGAGCAGCTCGGTTTCAGGAGGTTGTAAGCCTCTCCCCGACATCTCCTCCAAAGAACTGCAAAGCATCTCTAGGCGTAAACTAACTTTCCATAAAGACCAGATCATCTCCGGATCAATGCCAAGCTCGCTCCCAGGCACAAGTCGTGCCGGCTGGTCGGACAGAGCAACACCAGGCGTTGCCGCGGGAGCCATGTGGTAATCAATTCGGCAGGCAAGAGCATGTGGGTAAAGAGAATACACGTATTCAGGATTTTCGAGTCCCTTCAGTTTTCTCTCACCCATTTCTTTGACCTCAAAGCCTTGAGAAGTGAGCGATTTCAATTCTTTCCGGATAGCCAGCGCAGTTGCCGTGTCATCAAACGCTTCGTCGGACCCCATAGATCCAGTTCGATCGTTTTCCTGATACGTTTCGAGACACCGCTGGATTTCAGAGATAAAGTCTGCAGAAACTGCGATCTGACCGCCATCTGCAACTGCGGAAATTCGAGAGGCTTTATTGACCATCGGTCCGAAGTAATCCATACGGCGAGTAACAGGATCGATCTCGGCTACCGGCTCGCCGTAATGAATACCCATTCTGACAGAAAGACCCTTGAATATCAAGTTGTTGTCCTTGTCCCAGATTTCCTGACATGAAACTGAGTTAAGAACTTCGGCCGGCCAGCTCACCTCGAGAAGTTGCATCTGAACAGAGAAGCACCATAGTAGGGCAGATGTTGCAGTGGGAAAGGAGACCATGAAAGCATCGCCTTCTGTCTTGACTTCGTACCCGCCAATTCGTCGGAGTTGCCGACGCATAACCTCGTTGTGAAGTTTAATGGAGGACCTCATGGCGTCAGGATACATCTCCCACAAGTTGGTAGAGTTTTTGATATCCGTGAAAACGATGGAAGGTTTATCAGTTGGTGCGGGCACCTCAGCCTCAAGTCGATGCAAGTCTGAGTCTAGAATTCCACCCTTCGGTTTCTTGCCTCGCTTTGGGTATTGAAACTCGTCTGGAACACCTGAGGGATATAATGACATGCTCTGTCCCTTGTGTAGACGCGTCGATCGCTCTTGTCGTCGCTTGAGGTCGGCAACACTAATCATCATTACCATAATCTTGTTGGTTGAACCATAGGCCATAGCCAGATCTCGCAACTTCTGTGAAGCTCGCATGAGATCACCTCGTTCAGACCGTGAAATGTCAACAATCAGTGAAGGTCTGAGATATTCCCATAATTCCTTAGTTGCAATCACGATTGTTTCATCCTGGGGAGTGATGGAGAGATGGTTGACATCAGGGGCTGCTTGCACAGCTGGTATTAGGTCAACGTAGCCAAAGGCACGAGAGACTTCGAGGGAATCATTTAATCTTCCTTGGCGCGATACCCAACCACCCGCATCTCGAATTCGTTGTCGTTCCATAGGGTCCGCTGGGTCGTGCTTCCGCGTCAAAATTTTATGAGAGCCATCAGATTGAATGAGCATTGCTTGTGCATCACCAACGTTGGCAATATACAATTCTTGAGCCTGAAGGTATGCAATAGTGGCAACACCTCCCGAATTGAGATCCTCTTTACTCAAGACAGGGGCTCCTGACCCGCGATGCAGGCCCATCGGCCTCTTCTCTGTGTGTTCAATAGCTATAGTGACCAGATCTTTGTTGAGGGCAAGAAAAGCGCGGCGCAGTGCATCGACAGGTCCCTCATTCTGGCGCGTTTTGAGTGCTTTCAACTCTGTAGTAAATATAGGACCGAAGTTCTCATGCAAATACTTGGCGATCTTAGAGCCACCACTTGAAAGAGCCTGGCCATCAAATAAGCCGAGAAGGGTTTCTGTATCCGAAGAATTGAATCGAGGTACAACGAGGTCAATAGTAGACAAGTGTTCATTTCTTCCCATGGTGTCAGCCATGCCATATGGAAGATGCCCTGCCAATGAGCCAGACGTTCTCACGCGACGATCTTCGCTTTGGTCGGGTATGCTGGGTTGAGTGAGAGTCACGTCCATCAACCCAAGGACACGAAGGTTTGACAGACGACTGAAATCGGTGTATTGTTCGCGGTTTTGAGCAACTGTCCCTTGATTGTTCTGTTTGATTTCTAAGCGTTTGTTGCCTGACAAATTGAGGTAACGAAGGTTCGGATTGAGATTCCAATTCCAATCGTACGGAACATTAGAAATGTTGTACTTCAACGAATTGTTTCCACAATCAAGTACGGCCAGCTTCTTTGCCCTGGAAATATCAGCCGGA